ACAGAAAATGGATCGAACAACAGTTCCAAGGGGACCAAGCCGCTATGAGAGCGGCAGGTTACGGTTACGAAATGGATTTCGATAGAGGACCGCTCGAAGATATCAAAGAAGAAGACATAAACGACCTGGCTGCTTCTAGTTACGGTTCTCAAAGAGACTCCGGAGGTAGCATGAAGGAATCCTACTCCAGCACGCCGGATTACGACGTACTGGCGGGAAAGAAATACTTCACGCGATCCGGCGAGCACGACGACGTGTCGATGTCGAGTTTAACAGAATTCGAGAATTTGGAGAAAGCCATGTCTTTGGAAATGCGCAAATTCCATCATGGATCTCAAGATTCCTCCAGCAACGGTAGTTTAAAATCGAGGTATCAGGCGAGCAAAAGCGGACAAGGTGACGACGTTTCCGTAAGCTCCTTAAAAGAATTTGAAGGACTGGAGAAAGCCTGCATAGCAGTGCACAAAATCGAAGAAAAAGTCAAAGAAGAGGAAGCCATGCTGACGCACATAGAGGAATGCCAGGAAAGCGTCACATCGGAATCGGAAAGCTGCGAGACCATGTCAGGCACGGAAAAGAAAGTAGTCGATACAGACGACGAAGATGACTACGAAAAAAGGATGTTCGAAATCGACGAAATTATAAAACAAGCCCAAACGAACGTAGAACGATTCATAGAATTAAAAGAACCAGAGAAAACCGAGTCGTTGGGTAGAGGAGATTCCATCGAAGAGGTATCCAAAGTGCCCGATCTGGATTTGGATGGTCCGCTAAATAAAGCCGGCGCCAAAGTTCAGTGGAAGGAAGGCGACGACGTAATGACGACTTCCATCGACTCTCTCGATATAAAACAAGATAAACCCAGTCGCTACGACAGCTCCGACAGCTTGGATCAGAAACTTGCCACTGCAGACATAATGAGCGCTAGCACCGATTCGATTGAGCAGAAAGCCAGAAAATCATCTAGAGACATTATGACCGATAGTTTGGAGATAAAAGGCGAGATTAAAAGCGAAATGGTGCTGAGCGATTCCTTGGAACTCGCTGCAGCAACGACCTCAGGAATTAACATAATGACCGATTCGATAGACGAAGATGGATCTAGAATCGGTGGTGTTGGAGACCATAGCAGCTCCAGTACAGGTAAAGATTTCAGTTCGTCGGCTAAAGAAGAAGAATTAGATCATGATAAAGACGAAATGTTTGAAAGTACTGGTAGCATAGAAGTAACTAGCAGTACCGCCACTCACGCCACGTACCAATACGACACCGATTCGGTATACTCAGGCGGCAGCTTCACCAGCGGTGGCTCCAATACCATGGTATCTTCCACCAACTCCATCGATCAGACCAGACAGTCAACCTCTGTCGACGTGGCAGCGGCTGTGAGGAAAGTGTGGTTCGACGAAGACCTCAGCGGCAGACACACCACCGATTACTACGACGACTCGAAAACCTACGTAACGGAAACCATCGAGTCCACCGACGAAGACGGGTTTTCGCACGTCGTGCACAGAAAAGTCGAGATGCCGCCCGAAGTACGAAGGATAACCTTCACCGGCGCCGAGTGCGAAGAGCAATTGCGGCAGTACATGACGAATTTCCCCGAAGGCGAGGAAGTGGTCGAGACAGAGGAAACCGACGAGGCGGGTAACGTCCACGTGAAGAGAGTGGTGCAACGGAGGTTCGTCGTCAAAGACGACGGATCCGAGCACCCGATGTCCGGCGGGGACATCGAAGAGTACTTCAGGCGGCTGAACCAGCAGGGGCAGGGGGTGGTTTCGAAGACGACGGAGGGTCGCGGGGTGGTCACTAAAACCATCACGGACGGACGGGGAGCCAAGACGACGATGACCCAGCGGTTTGACATTCCTCCGACCCAACTAACAACACTAACAAGAACTGTACCAGGTTTGTGCACTAATCCCTCCGATCCGACATTATAGTTGTAACGATTTGGTTCCGTTCTATTTCTTTTAGCTTTTTATTTGAGTTAGATCAGTCGTAATTTTAGTTTTTGGTAAGTTACTTTGAGTTTGCATGGGTTCAATATAAATTTATTGTGCATGGTTTTGGTGAGTATTTTTTCGTTTTTCCGTTCTATCAGCTTTCTGTAAAAGGGTGTTTTTTTTTATATTCGAATTTGTTCTGTAGGTGCTGATCAACCGGTTAGCTTCAGCTCGATAAGGGACGCACCTTCCGCATCAACAAGACGTAAGTTAATTTAATACGTTTTTATAAAATTAATAACATCAATAACGTAATGTACGATTAAATAATTGTTACTGTTATTTGATTGCAATGAAGCCTTAAGAGGAAACAATTTTTATATATTTTTGGAATCATCTTTGAAGGCATCAATGTTTAAAAAACACTAGATTCCATAATTTTTCTACAATTCAATCCTCCCATGTAAATTTTAAATATCAATCCTTTCTTCCTCTCTTATATTCCCCATATTCATCAGTGTAATTCCAATATACAGGATGTTTTCGAAATTTTTAATGATGAATTGGCAACGAGTCTTAAATTATGCAAACTACCACCCCTAGAAATTTGAACCCAAAGTTCGAGAACACCCTGTACTATGCAAATCAAATGATTAATGACTGGCGACCTAGTGTATATTTTGATGGTTCTGTTTGGTATAGCCCAAGTAAGCACCCGTAGAAGACCTCTTCGTTATGAAATCAGTGTCGAAGATCAAACCGAGGTGGACCCTAGGGAACACGATTGGCGGTTTAATTTACCCAAACATGGTAGATAGGCTAAAATGTTCTATTATAATATTCGTTACGTTTTCTCCACGAAGTTACCAAATTTTTTGTTTGTCGTTTTGTTGCGTCATTAGATATGAATGCTGTTTTTATCATTTTGCTATTAGGTTTTTAGAGATGAAACCGATATATTAGTGTTAATTTGGTACCTTTGAACTTTTACCTGGCTATACACGTAAATGTTCAGCACATAATTTCCATATATCGTGATCCCGATGTTGTGTAATGGTTATCAGAGTTTCTGATGAGTATTTTATTTTTCTGTTTCACAGTAGGGTAGATAATACTCACTGTTTTAATATTATTATTATTAATTCCCAAAATTCTTCAAATTCTGACAAAATGCATATTTGAAATGAACTTGATAAATTATTTTAAAGTATTTCATTTTGTTTAAAACAGTATATTATCTGCCATTTTGTAAATAGCTGTGTTTTGAAAAGTAATTATCCTACAAAAGAAAATTTAATTCACTTTTTTATTCTCCTCTGTGCCAATCAATTTACTTATTCAAAACACTTTGATCGTCACTACTAATAATATTATCAGTTAAAAAATAAATGTTACACCAATTAATATAAAACATAAATCACAAATTAATTGATAAATTGATAAAATAATATTTATTTTTTAACTAACATTAGTGGTATTTTTATCTACCTTGAACCTTTAACTTTTAATATTATTAATCTGTTGTTTTTTATAATCGTTTTTTCTATTTAATGTTTTTATTTCTTATGCAAAAATTTGTTTATGTATATTTATTTTTACACAAAAATCGATACTAATATTAGCTACCCACCAAAAATAAAATAAATATACATGCACATCACTGTACATAATTTCCGGTTGTAAATATTTACTGCTCACACTGTATATAATCATCAAATCTTTTGAGCATAGTAGTCACCAGTTCGTGAATGTTGTTTCCAGTTATATTTATTTATTTCACCCTTTTTACCCACCTTCCTCGATTATTAACCCCTTTTTTGTTTGGTTATTTCTATATTTCAGATTTGGATCGTTTGCAGTGCACTTTATTAGTATTTTTTTTAAACTTAAGCATGTAGTTAATTTACATTGAGAGAAATTTATTAATTCGTTTCTCATTCTCCTTTGCAGCGGAAGGCGAAGAGCCAGCTGAGAAGGATGAAAGTGGATACGAATGGTAAGTACAGACAGAGAAGAATAGCTAAATAATTTATTGAATAATATTTTTGTTATAGGAATGTAGCTGATCAGCACCAACTTTCGGAAGAAATGAAGGAATTGCTGAAAGAACTCGAAAAGGAAACTAAGCAATAAGATGGCGAAATCGAATTTAATAATCTCGACATATCCCCAATCTTCGTAACTATTCCAAAAAATGTGACACGTGTGTTGTATTAACGAAATTTTGACGATTACGCTTCAAGCTTGCTAAAAAAATTAAGTTTTCGCTGGAAAAATTGTACGGGAAAAAATTCTAAAGATTTTCGGAAATTTGGTCCATTTTCACATCGTATTAAGAGATACAGCCATTTTTAAATTTTCGCTCTACCGTTCTTTTTGACTAATACTAATATATGAAATCGATGTTATATTTTTAAAAGAAGCAATGTATTTTATTTGTATTATTTATGATCTATTTGTAAGTTTGTTTTTAATCCTTCAGAATTGGTAAAAATAGGAATATTTTCGCTTGCTAGGATTTAACGAATTCAAGTTGCTTTCTTGATGCAATTCTGAAGGATTTCGACTAAATAATGAGTACTTATAGGTAGAAAAATAAAAAAATGGTAAGTTAATAAATCTAACTTACAATAATTTCGAAAGTTTTAATAAGCTGAATAATTTGTTTTTGTTATAGCTGTTATTTTTATATATATGTATATTGCTTTATTGTAAGTTAAGGTTACATGTTTGTATAAAAAGAAAGAAAGCAAGGATGACAATTTTTTTAGATTAAATAATGTTATGTAGCTTTTATGGTTAAATTATTTAAGTCTTTTCTACGGTTTCTCTTATCAACGTACTCTACTCGAACAGGTTAGTGGTTTTTCCTGTTCCCATTTAAATAGAAAAATACGTGGAGCAACCGCAGATGAGAAACTAATTTCCATTATTATTTATTTTCAATCAATGTGACATACCTGAATATTTAATCCGTGTATCAGATTATAAATAATAAAGCTTTCAGTATAATTATACAATCTGTCGTTTAAATCGATAATGAAATACCAATTGCGTAAATGAATTTATTATAACACATCACAATCAATTGAATATTGCATAGTTAAAGTTGATTTATTTAATCCTCTTTAGTTTCTTCGCCCAGTATTTTGTTCAGTTTCTTAATAAGATTCTTCGTTTTTAACTTTTCTAAAAAAATATTTTGAATTACACCTGCACTGTTATCCCAGTGCAAGGTACACTTACCTGAATCTTCGTAATTGTCGTCTGCAGCAGCTTCGGTCTTGCGAAATATATGCATGAAAGTCATCAAGCAAACGGCCTTGAAGTACTTCTCGTTATCGACTTTGGACTCGTCGAAAATTATCTCCGGAAGGGTAGTTTTTGTGGTGATAGTTTTATTAACGTTTCCTTTACCCTCTGATTTCTCCTCGACAACCGAGCTGTCGAAAATGGATTGAATGAACTTATCGCAAATCTGCTGTTGGTCTCTTTCCTCCAAAATTTTATTGATCTCCTCCAAAATCTTGTGGATGTCTTCGACATTTCGCTTCTTGTTTGCCATCAGAAGCTTGTCGAATTGCCGGTAGTTTTGTTTATTCAAGCACGTTACTGCTTTTTGCATTAGATACCTCAAGAGGTTTTCTTTGCTTCCAATAATTTTGGTGATGGTGTGTGGATTTGTAGGCGATTTGTTTGATAGATTTTCCGGCGTAGTTTCCTTTTCGGATAGTTTATCGAAGCTATCCGTAGATTCTTTGCTGCATACTGAAGTTGATTCTGGATCGAACAGCGATTTGGATGAATTGATAGTATCTTCTACTTTATTCCTGATGAAGTCTTTAGTAATAGTAGCGATTTGTTCATGTAAATCCGGCTGAAATAAGTGATGTCTTCCCAAAGTACTGAATGATCTTTTATGCAAATTGAATCTACTTAAGAAGTTTCCTGCGAATGTTTTTCTTTCAGGTACCGAAGAGGAATAAAACCTTTCTTGCGGCTTGAATTCCGTGCGGATTTCTGTATTTTCCAAGCGAGTTTCGTGCATCACCAAACCTGCCAGTCTCGCATAATGCCTGGCCTTTTCCTTGTAGTACCTCCGTTTGAATTCCTCGGCCGATGGAACCGGTCTAGCTTGAAAGTACTTCACGATTTTCTTCAAAATTGCGTTGTTCAACAACGGATTTGGCTGAATGGTGGTGTCTGTCGAGTGAACAGAGTCGCCATCTGAGGAAACTGAAACTTCGTCATCATCAATTATTGGTCGATCTGAGTCTTGGAATTCTTCATATTCGTATTTAGATTCCGGTATGAACAGCTCGTTTTTGAATTTCTGATCGTCGTATATATCCGGTGATTCGGTTGGCTCGCTTTTAGAAGCGGGGAAATACTTTTTCTTCAATTGGTATATCTTCCAATTTTCCATATTTAATACATCGTTAAGGGTTAACTTTTTACTAATTGTAGCTTTGCTATCGGTGCTTTTATCGGTGCTTATATTGTCGTCTATGTATTCGTTAGTGTTTATTTCGTTGGATTTATTTGTGGACATGGATCGTTTTAGAGTTAGTTGGACGTTGTGCGTGTTGTTGAGTTTGTGCCACTTGTAGAAATTATCGACTTTTCCTTGTATGCTGCGGATGTTTTCTGTCTCTGTGGCGTCTCCTTTGAGTTGCCTCAAATCTGTGTAGTTCGCCTTCTCTGTTAACTTCTTTCCCTGAAGTTTTGTTAAAACGTGGTATCTCCTTGTAGGAATTTTACCGATATCCTTATTTCCTAAAATTCTGCCGGTAGTTAAACTGTAGGTGCAATAGGATCTGGCTGGTTTACTTCCAGCAATGCCTTTTAAATAATTTAAAAGTAAATGAATTTTCGACATAAAACCATCCCCTTCGATGTTACTCGCTTTAGTGCTACATTCTTTCCCTTTGGCGCTCACAAAGGACATTTCTTTAGTATCTGTAACGAATGTAGATGAAGAAGAAGTAAAGCAAATGATTTCAAATTACCTTTGTTGTTGGGGAAATTTCCAACGCGTATCGGACTGTTCAAGATAGTAGTCATACTGATATTACCGTTGGGATTATTCCTGTAACTAGCATCTATTAACATTATCCTAGCGGCTGGTTTATTAGCGTCGGGATTCAGCTTGCATTTGCTGGTATTATCGTCGATATCGTGCATGTTTCTGTTGAGTTCGGCAGTTTGAGCCAAAAGTAAATCGAGTTTATCCAGTACAGCCGCTCTGTCAATTTCGTTTTCTTGTTGGTACAGGTATTGAATGAATTCTTGCTTGAATTCTTGCAGGTTTTCGGACATGGCAGCTGCTTGAGTGGAGTAGAAACGTTTCGGGAACATGCTGAAGCTGTTGGGTTTGGATTGGAAAGATCGAAAATCGATAGAACTATCTTCGTCGTTCAGTCTGCAAGCTCTGGGTATGTAGTAGAAGCTGGTTAAAGGTTCGTGGATTCGCAACGTTCCATTTAGAGATACTTTCGATGAGTTCACCTGGCGTTTGAGGGCTATGAATGAGTTTTGTTGCATGATTTTGTCAAGTTTTGATTGAGATTTTTGTAATGAGAGTTTGTTAAATATTGGTAAAGATTTGGATTTCGATACTGATATATTCGCCACTGATTTAGTATCGAGCAATTTATCGAAGCTTGATAGTAAAGATGGTGCAGTTGGGATTTGTTTTCTGTTGAAAAACTTTTCCAACGTTCTGTCGAATATTCTGCGGCGTTTTTTTGTAATAGTGTTAGCTAAATCGAGGGATTTTGGTTTTGTTAGTTCGTTCTTTAAAATAGGATTAAAACGTTTAGTTCTGCAACGACGAATCGAATGAGAGGAATTTAAAAACATTTCACCTAGAATCGAAAATGAACTAATTTTGGAAAATATGCATGGATAATTAATACACACTTATATTTTGTTTCGAGGTAATGTTGGTTAATTTTCGTGGGATCTTCGGGATCGTATGAGACATTGTAATACCTATGTCTGTTGATTCGATTTTCATAAATTTTCTCAAAAAGTGGTGTTTCCAAAACGAACAATTCTTCACTACAACGAATTTCAAGTGCAATCCAGATATTTTTAAAATATTTCTGAGCATCACAAAAATTTTACAAGAAGAATATACGAAAATTATATTGACAAGTAATCAAAATAATTTCAAACGTCACATTATATCGTTTTTTAATAAGTCATTACTCACATATTTATTGTTGAATTTTAATTATTGGATATAAAAAAGTTTAGATAAAATTTTATACGATTTATTTTGGCACCTCAAAAAATATTACATTTTTTAAATTTTAAAATCTAACATAAATAAATAGTAAATCCTGGCATTTCGTTTATAATAAAAATACAAATAACGTGTATAAGAATGAACTTGAATAAGTGTAAAGTACAAATAACAAACTAGATCGCAATAAAGTTTCCAAACTGCATCGTTTAAAGTGTATAATAATTAATAATTTCTAAAAATACTACCGAAAAAAATGCACGAAATTAATTATAAAATACTCAAATTGGTCTTAAAAAAGAAAATCACAGTAAAAATTCCAGCACGTTTTCTTCGTTTTTTTACTTATAGCTTTTTACAGCCGTCACACATACAAAAGCTCGTGACACTTTTACAAAATTTTAAAATTACTTAAGGTCACAGCAAGCAAAAAACTAAATAAATTCCAACCACTTACAATGAGTAATAAATAAATTTCAAAGACATTACAACTAATTAGTTAAATTACAAATAATTAGTTGTAGTAAGTTGTAATACCTTTGAAAAATTTAAATAATGATTGAACAATAAAAAAATAGAATTCTTTACTTCAATAAAATTATTTACCTCAATTTACTTACTTTAGAATTAATTAAAATACAATTTACTGTGACCTAGGAAACCTACAAATTCCAGCGCTTAAATTACTACAAAAATGCCCTACAGAAACTATATGAAATAAATTAAATACCAACAAATAGAGAAGAACAATAATCTCCATAAAATCTAACTAGTATTTGATACAAACGATAAGAGCACTAACACTCTAACCAATCTGCTTTTTAATCACCTTCCTGTTATTAACTATCATTTCGGTATTTTATAATTTAACAAAGAAAAGATCTCGAAGAGATACTAATACGATAATCTCACCGTAAACAAACCCGCAATAATCAAGTAAAAAATCAATGAAATCAGTCAATCGATTACAAAAGGAATGTATAGTGTATTTGCAGTGTTCGTTAAGGCTTTTATACTACAGTACTGTAAGATCCTACTGTACCCCTTTTCCCAAAAATTGGTCAATACCCTAATATCAGGTGGCAGTATTAGTATAAAAAGCATACGTGATTATTTTAATGCATTCCATTTAAGTGAGATATACAGAGTGTTCGAAATAAAAAACATACCTTTAATCCCTATGATAACTGCTGCACATTGTCAATAAAAATTCTTAAGTTTCCGTTTTACATTATAGACCGTAAAGGTATGTTTTATTTTCGAGAACACTTTGCTTCGCAATCAACATCTCTTCCATTAATAATAATTAGGAATCGATTACTTGTGTAACTTTTTTGGCGAACAAATAAATTCATTCAGCAATCTCTGAACAAACTCACCCTGATATACACACATGCTCGCCTGCGTAACGAGAATACAGCTCGTACTAAAAAAGCTACACCGTTAAATTTTGAACCAGCAAAAAAATTATTTAGCTATAGATTAATAGAAATTCAGCTACCTATAACCTTACTTAACCTAGCTGGATATTGTTTCGTTTAAAGGCGACAGAGTCGATTGTATCAAATCCGCAACGGTTGTTTCATTGATTAAACTCTTTAGTAAGTTAGCAGGAGTTGTGGAATTAAGTAAATTGGCAGGAGTAGTGGAATTTACCAAGGTAGCGTTAACAGGCGCACTGGAATACATTGCTACTATATCCTCAATAGCCGCTTTAGAACCGAATATTAAAGCTAAAAAGGCTATAACAACCACCACGACGTTCTTCAGCATTTTCCAGTTGTATTTGCCGAAACCCTTATCCCAGAACGTGAGGATTTCGATTCCGATGGGAGCCATCAGGCCCAGAATCGAGAAGCAAAAGGCCCCGATCAACGACACGAAAGGCACTATAGTAGGTACTGCGATGGCCAGGAACACACAAACCAAAGTCATAATGGTCCTCATCGTGTAATTAGCAGTGTTCTGGTTCTTCGCGTACTTGTCCTTGATCTTGTTCCAGGCGATGTCGATGCACACGTAGAATTGCAGGCCGAAGGTGCAGAACACTGCTCCACCCACCAGGATGTTCACAGCTTGAGCGGGACTGGAAAATTATTTATTACAAATAAGCTCGAGAATAAAATTGGGTACACTTACTAGGCATCGATAGGAAGATTCAACGTCACGGAACCTTCGACGAGTTCGCCGTACCTGAGGTACCCGAAGAAACCTATGAGGATGTAAACTAGAGTCACGCCGCTCATTCCTTTGTTCAGAACGCCGCACAAGCCGACGAATTTCTGGGGGGTTCCCATGTTGTTTTCCAACGGCATGATCTGGAAGCAACGCTAACATTGTAGATTCAATTCTTCAAGAAGTACTTTAGAACTTACAACTCCTATGGCTTCGATAGCGAAAATGGTTATACTGAAGAACACCGGTAAAGTGCTGATTGGTCCGATTGCCGGCCTTTCGGTAACGGAGGGCATCTCTTCCACTAAGTAATAGAAAGTGATTCCCAAACTGACGGCCATGAATACGTTGGCTACCATCGAGAAGGGCGCCAAGTATTTCAAATTGGGCACGTAGGCGAGGAGGACCAGGGGCAGCATCAGAACCGCTATGGTGATTCGAATTTCGATGTTGTAGCCCATGTAGTAGTCGATGACGTAGTTGAAATTGCTCGCCATGATGACGGTGTAGCAACTGCAGGTCATGAAGTACGTGATGAAGATTCCGATTTCGATCAATTGCCTGGAATGGAAACAATACATAATTACACATGTACTAGTATTTAGAGGAAGAAGTGTTACATACTTAGCAAACGGTGCAAATTTTCTGGCAAACGGGGGTCCTCTTTGGCAAGCCTCTTGAGCTACATCGGCGAAACTCATTTGAGTTCTTTTACTTCTTTTATATAATTCATGAGCACTTGTGACCTGGAAATAACTAATTAAACACACAAAATTTTAATTTTTTACCAAACTTACCAATACGTAGGAGCAGTGAGTGCATATAACAGACACGACGATTGTCATGAATATCCCCATAATTAAACCAGAGGCGTAGAAGGCGGCTGGCATTGATAAAATACCAGTTCCAAGAGAGGCCTTTAATAAATGGGTGAGAGTATCCGTGTTACTGAAAAATAATAGCACTAAAATTATAATGTTTATTCACGAAAATTAGTAACACTTACGATACTGGATGGGCGAGTTGCCTGGCCTTAAACGGATCGAAATCGTCATAGCCGGCTTTTTCCAAGTCTCCATTAGTGGAAATCTTATATCTGAAAATATGTAGGTATTATAAAAAAATATTTTAAATTGTTAGCGGAGAAAATACTTTGTAACTCCGTTTGTGTTCGAATTGTCCTGTGGCAGGAAACTTTCTAACTCCGTAGAGCCGTTGTTGGAAGGTTTGCTATCCTGCAATTACATAACTTGATTAATTCGCAAATAAAAAGAATGCAAAAAATGGATTTTATATAAACAGTTTTATTATTGTTTATATACCAACATAATTAAAATTTGTAATATTAAAAATAGCTTACCATTTGGGGAATTCAGTTCAACTATCTTTTACAAGGGAATACGAGTCAAATCTGAAACAAGCAAAACAACAAGAATATTTATATATTTGTCGATTAAAATAAATATTATATTAACGATTTCAAAGTCAAACAACGCGATACCATCGAAAAAAGGCGGCAATAAATGCTAAGTATTTAAATAAAATGTATTTTTAACTTGCGTTAAAATTGAACAAAACATTCGCGTGTATGTAACGTTTACGTTAACGTTAACGGTAAACGTTATTATCCAATGCCATTTTCGCTTGTTGTCAATTAAAATTCATTCCAAGAAATTGACGATTTCCTATTTTCAAACGGCATGCGAAGTGAAATTAAAAATTATGGAAACGCATTATCAATTATCAAATAACTCCACAAGTTGTACTTTTTATCACATTCAATAAATATTTGCTTCATACATCAAACTCTACACGTATCTATCTATCATGTGTACATATGGTTAATTTTATACAAAACAATATTTAATTAAGGCTAGCGCATTTAATTAACAATATGCGTTGTTTAACCATCTCAAAACAATTTTATTACTCAATAATTATTTGCACCTCCATTTGGCATGGATTTATTAAATAATAAATAGTACCCATCAAAACTTAACAATAGAAAAATAGGCGTACGCGCAAACCAATTAATTAGAATTGTGTCTGCAGGAGCAAATACATAATTTAAAAAACCGTTGACCTTTAATCGTGATCTCGTGTTATTTGCGATTGGTCTACCTAGAAATAAATTAGAGAGGAAAAAAGATCGGGCCCATTTGATATTCAAGGCTAAGAGTAAATTAAAAATGGTTAGCAAACTTAATTCATCGAATTAGATGGTCGGTAAGGTCATGTCAGGGCGTTGCAGGTTTGAGACCTTTAGGAGAACAATTAAGAAGTCGCTTGGAAAATTACTCGAACACGAAAATTACAGAGTGGAGGAGTTTGTTTGCTTTACCGGTGCCGGTAATTTCAAAGGAAAAAAACTACTTATTGTTACAATAAACAAATCAGACATTAAGTGTTGTATACATGGCGACAAATCCCATAAAGTTCTGCGAAGAGATCAATAATGTTAGTTTTTTTTTTCGGTGATAGTAAGTATGTAAATATTTACCAATTGATACTGCAATGCAAGCATTGATTATCTATTATATCAATATCAACGTGTTTTTACAGGTATGCGTTTTCAAGGGCAATTCGCTAAAACGTACAACGTTATCGCGTATTCCTGCGACACGTCGAAAACACATTAATCGAAGAAAGTAACAATAAACAAATTAATTCCAACAATAAATACGCGCTACGGCGACTATGCTAAATTATCAAAAAAAAAATACTAAAAAATTGATACATTTTTATTTTTACGATTTTGAATTTTTATCAGAGCATGACGTTAATCGCCGCACTTCCTGCAAACTGTTCGAATAATTTAGAATAGTAAAATTTCATGCCCGAAAAAGATAAGTTTTCTACTACTTTACCATTGGGATTGATACCACTTCCTAAGTTGATATATCACAACGTATTTTTAATTCCACTCTGCGATAAACCAGAATAAGCATTTCTTCAGCATCACTACAACTGATTCTAATTATACGATTACCACAATTAAAAGACAACGTAGTTGTCCGGGCAATCACGATTATCGAATTCCAGATTACTTAAATTTTTCCGTTTGAATACATTAGCACTTTTCTAAAAAAAATTAAAATGAATATTTCGCAATACAGGTGAATTTTTATCAGGTAAACTGCAATGTGTAAACCCGCTTATCAAACCACATGGGAAAGCGACAAACTTTATCCGCCAAATCCAGTGAGGTCAAACCAAATCGGATTTACCGAAAGATAAGGCCAATATGAATGAAAAATGGGAGGCAGGAAGTAGAAAATTTCCACGATAAAAAAACTTTGATTCCAAAATAGATGTATTGCAGCAAAATTCATTAGACAAACGGATTTGCTTAATTAAATAAAAACGCAGTTAAGAACTTTTGCGTCTTCTTAAATTATCTGGAAACCAGAGCATTGACTTTTACCACCATCATGTATATCGATTTGATATAATCGATATATTCTATTATTAAAAACTTCAAGACTAACAAGGTATTATTAAGGGCTACATGAATTATTCAATAATTTGCTTTCAACACTATATTGACGTAAATATTTAATAATTTCATTATGAAATGCGTATGTAGAATGTTTTTTTAGTATTATAATACCTCTTTATCGTCATTTATACAAGGTAAGTGACGACTTAAAGTGGCATATATAATATATTTTAAAATATTAGTAGTCAAATAATCTAGTGGGATTCGTAGAATACAAATATACCGAATTTTTCGGTAATTTATCTCTAGGTCCGGCTGTGTATGTAATTACCAGACACTAGTATAAACTATTGATATAAATAAACAATTACAGACCTATTTCAATTATTCATTTTCTTCGTAAGTAAAAATTTTTAAATTCTATCGATAAGAAATTACGTAAGTATTTACCAGTTTTTTGGTTATTAGTGATAATTGTATTACATTCCCACTGTCAATTGGTACTTATTTTACAGCTATAACAAAAAAATAATGTCTATCACATAAAACAACCAATTAAGTTATTTCAAATAAAAAAATGTAAAGTACTTTACGCACATAGATAATAATCAATAGATAAAAAAATTATGGAAGATAAATTTGACGCCACATACCTTTATTACGTTAAAGAACGCAATACAATCGAAGCTTTTATTCATAAAAATGATTATAATAGAGTTCAATAGTTGATTGTTAAAAACCCATACTGATTGCAAGTAAATAAATATATGATACAACGCGCACCATTGTTCCAAATAAAAATCGTCTTAACCTTGTTTTGAACTTATCAATATATCCTCATAATTCCTACATATAATTTTAATAATTATTTATTTATGCCTTGAATAAAGTACATAATTATTACCAGTATCTCTATGTGAATCACAATTTAGAATATTATTTTTTTGCCTCCAATGTCTTACAGATAACAATAATTTAAGATGAAACAATTATTTCCCGGTAAATAAATTATTGTTGTTAGCCGGTTTTATTTGGGAACTTCACAAAGGTGCTGACATATTTTTTAACTGCAACATTAACCTAAATATCAAATGTTTAAACACTAAACTGACATTCTTGGCAAGCTAATGACTTATTTTAAACTTGTCCAGACTGAGACCCAGGATGTAAGTGCGATATACCGACAAAGTCATAATCTATTTACTGCAGGAATTGAATTAATTAGCACATCTAAAGCGGGAATTAACGATAATTGGTTGTGAGCCGAGTAAATACATGAGTTTTTGCTATTAATAAAAGGGGAAATGGTAGATATTTGTTCAACATGGTGCAGGTTGAAAAAAAAATGTACTTATCTAACAGTTAAACTAATTGTTAGCAATATAAGGTATGTAATAATGAACCGGCTTTTCCAATAAACACTTAAAAGTTAATTAGTTTGTATTTTTCATAATAAATTATAACCAGTTTCTAGTGAGTGTATGTAATATTAATAAAATGTTTAAGAATAAAGTTGAATAATTAATCAAAATATTAGGTGTATACCAAATGGGTCAGTAGGTACACAATATCATTTGCACCTGTAAACTGTATGCATAATTTTTCTAAAATTCTGTTTAGTAGAACAAGCCTTGAATTTGGAATTCGCTTTATCGCATAAACATTTTTAAAACCTTGGATTTTGCCATAGTTTATGACACTATCCTATTTATTTTATTACTCTACATGCAGTATCGATTTCAAAAAATTTTATATAGCACATAAATCTCCCACCAAACATCCAAAAGATAGCGTATTTTATATTGTAGGATCAAATTCCGTTTTCCTTGAAAAACGAACAAAAATACGAACTCATTATGTTCCCAGTACATTTTATTTGTAACACCTAATTCAATTATTTAAAGCTCTTGTTAGCTTATTAATTCCTAATTCCCATTCGATTTACTAATGGTTCAATTAAATTTCTATCGCTGAAACATTCTCAAAGTCGCAAAATTTAGGTCATTATTCTGTAATGAACTTTTTTCGTTTTATTTTCATCTGCATAATTGAGATGCCCGCTAGTTTTGAGTTCGTTAACACTTTTTCGTCTGCATTACTTTCTCATTGTAATCGATAAATAATCATTTTTTGTTTAAGCGGCCATGAACGTGAAAATTTTAATTGCGCACTTTTAGCGCACGAATTTCGTCGGTCTCTGACCTCTGATATAATTTGATTTGTTTTGTAATAGTTTCCGGTCATCAACATTTCGGATTAGTGTGTCAAAAAATATCAGTATAATGCACGTTGTGGTTTATCTGCCATCATTTAATTCATTGGAGTGTTTAAGAGGAAAATTACTGGGAAATATAGGGTTATCTTTGCTTTGTTCAATAATAAGCGAAAAATGGACTATCAATAACCCCGCTGATAAAATTGCAAGATTTATGCTCTGTACAATTAATTTGTATTTTTTTTAAAACGATCGTTTAAATTATCTGTAATGGAAATTGGATTTTTCTAGCCAGTCATACTATTACAGACAAAATATAAACTATACAATAAAGGAGCGCTGTATTCCCCACTCTGTTTACACTTATTTGTCGTAAACGCCTTTGCAAACATTGTGTGTTTTATTACCGTAAAACTCTGACTTCATTCGATCGCTAGTTACCTAAAAATATTCATGAAGTTGCACGTAATCTATGTATGTATATACCTAGTCAAGCAAACAGTCAAGTCACTCTTCGTAGAACGAAAAATCTAACAAGGTCGCAATATGATCGATATATTTTAGTAGAAGCATTAAAAAGTCTACGCAACCCAGTAATAGAATTTTCCGCTATTGTTAGTGGACAAAAGGAAATTCAATTAACAAGAGTATTATTGGTTTTGTTAGTACCTGGTCTACGAATCGAATTAGAGAGCAGTAATCGAGATGGTCGATTTTTCCTTCTTTACATTAGATTTTTCCATAGCCTATTCTTGTACTAATGAAATCGAGCGACGACAGAAGCCATAATATATTTATTTCAGGGAGCGATTATTCTTTTTTCGAATTCTCTTCGTAAAATTGCTAGTAGAATAGTAAACTCTAAAAATAGGCGGATCTTTTCGTGCCAAGATCAAATACACATTCATAAAAATCTTATCGGTATTTATTAGGTTTTCCTAAAGATTACCCAATGAGTATTTACGCAATTCATTTTGGTATGGTGCTAAACAAATATCCAATAATTATTATTATCAATACAAAAAGTGTGGGAGACCTTTAACCCTTACTTGGGTTAATAAATTCCCGTCTTTATTGGTAATTTGACCTAATTATTTCCTATCATTGTTTATATACAATAAAAAAAGTTTATTTATAGATAGCGAATGGTTGCAAATATAGTTTTGCTTCTGAATGTAAATACACATGTACTCTATTAAATAACAAAATTTAATTAGCAAGTTAACTAATTAAAGTAAATTGATGTGAATTACCTTGGTGATAATTAGCATTTTAATGGTCACAAATGCCCTAAAATATACTAAATACTTTAAATGCATTTATAGATAAAATAAAGTTTAGTAAACTTTAAGTTCAACAATAAAAATTATCAAAGTTTAAAGACGCCACCTGTTGATTTTATCATTATTCTAACGCTTTAAACAAACATTTAAGAAGCCAGTAAAAGATTAATGAAGCGAATTGATATGAGAACGGTTCATTTAGTTTTATAGCGGCTATGTGGATTTGCGTGCCGGTAAAATAATTGTATTCTAGCGCGTTAAAATTCAGACGCCAATGCCGACGCCCGGCGTCGGTGACTCACTAAATCGAATTTCTTGCGAAGCTTCCGCGACGCGGCTGATGCAACACGCGCTTTCATTTCAACCGATTTTTTTAAATGTTTTCCTATAGTGGAAATCGAATTATTGCGCGTTCCGCTGGCGGAATTTAATTGGATAAAATTTTTACAGCGGTGGAAAATTAATAATTTCGTTATCGTGCGGTCATCTTGTTTGCGCTCCAGTTAATTGCATTATTTTGGCGGAAATGAAGTTTTTTTTTAAATATTGATAAAAATGTATGAAATTTGTAATGCTGATTTTTTGGGTGCAAACGTGATTAGTTTGTAAAAAAAAATAAAATGTTAAATATCTTAGCATTAACATATTAAAAATTAAATTTGGATAGGTGTATGTAATTTTTCCAACGATATTATATTTTTTTTATTAAATTGCGTCAGCTAAATTTATTTAAATAAATAAAAGTGCCAAATAAATTGAATTCAAGCAGTTTCCATACACCACGTGTACCCCTACAACTACAAATTTCACCAAAATTCGCCGGATTAAAAATTATCTTACTCACCAAACTACACGTTACAATCGAAAACTAATCGATTAGAACATATTCCCATTCAAAAATTCTATTTTTTCAAATACTAGCGCTATTTTTCCGAGCTATTATCCGCGCGTAATCCGAACGTAAACTGAACTGGAACTCTTTTAAACTTATGCTATAAAGGTTCGAAACCATGTGTATTCCACACAATTCAGTCGAGTGATGGCAACCGAAACTTTTTTTCGCTATCGACCCGGCATGCTCAAGGTTCCAATACGCTACAGGGCGATCCATCCACTCTCTACTATTTATAGAAGTTAAACCTGATATTCCCGCACAATTCTCTACAACTTTCTGTACTCACAAAGCCCAAGGACTTTGGTTATTAAATTCTACCAACCATTAGGGGAAGGAAGAATGACAAAAGAAAACTTGTTTCTTGCTTCAGGACATTATTATAGATATTTAAAGAAGCTTCTGAAACTAGATGAAGAATAGCCTCGTGTAGATAATTTTTTTTCTCTTAGAACTTAGAAATTATCAAGATTTTCGAATCCTGTGAGTTATCGGGATAGGATTTTTGGTCGCTTCCACTCTACTAAACGTGGTGAATTATCCGCGTGCGCCGTATGTTGTATTTCTACAGCCCGACGCCGTTATTCGGCACTCAGGTATAAGTCTGAGCTTTGGAAATTCGTGCACTTCGGCTGATGCAACAGACCTCGTAGTTGATCGAGACGCCTAAAAATGCACAAGGAGCGGACCAATTCGCAGAAAATTGCCGGGTGTTTTTTTTTGAGCCCTAAAAGCCGATAGTGGTCGTAGAATACACAGGAAGTCTATAAAATGCGATATAGATAGTAAAATAAGCCGGTATTTTACATGACAATTATAAATGAGATAGAGTAATAAATCTTGTATGAGATAAGACACAATTTATTAATAACACTACTTTTTTCTAGTGAATAATTAATGAGATTAATCGATTGTTAAATAAATAGTGATGAGATCATTTTGCAAGTCACCGAACGTACATATTGTTTACATGCTCGTTAGGTAAATTAAAAATGAACAGGAATCAATACGATGAGTTTCGCTATTATACTTGCGTGAATTTGTATAAATGATTTGCACAATTTTTAAATGTATAATAAAATCTCGCAAATTTATCTGCATCTTCTCCATCTGAGTCCTCTTTGTAAACAAACATTCTTCTTTTCCTTCCATTATAATAATTTCAAAGTTAGTATAATAGTGAGTCTTAACAGAAAACTTTCAGCCACCTTAAAATATTCCTTACATCAATGTCAACGTGTAAAATTAAGTCAAATTCTCTGTAAACTGTTTTTTTTTCTGAAAATGATTTCAATTCGTAACTAGTAAAATTCACGTAAGAAAATGGCCAAATCAGTAGCCTCGGAAAATCTCTTCCTCATGGAATTCCTCGTCGATCACGTGACGCTCGATCCCTGCTGTGATTGCGTCTCTCCCGGCGGAGAAAAGTGCGTGCAATTCCAATTTTTGGACAACGCTCCGTTGGACGTGTGCGAAGCCGACTTCAATCCACAAAGGTACATTAATTCCACACTCACGTTTCCCACTTGAGCTTTTTCTTTTAGAAACTACGGGTCGAAGTGTCCGAGAGACACGAGCATCAAAAGCGGCAAGTCCTGCCTGTTTTGCATGTCGGCCAGCCAAGTGGAGTATTGCATGGAGAAATTCGATTTGTACATCACGATTTACAAGAACATGCAGCCCGGCTGGTTGCCCGAGAAGGTCGAAATCGGCATGACCGTTATCCCCATAGTTAAGCTCTTCTGCGAACTGATTTGCAGCTTGACAAGCACCCGCACTGAAGGTAATAAAGCAATTAATGAACGAATTTTTTAAGAACAGATTTTTGGTGGTTTTAAGGGACTCAGCCAGCGGCGAAGACTATGAAGAACGAATACAACATTGAGAAAATATCGGGAGACATCGTTGGTAGAATAGGGGTGTATATAAGACTTTCGTGCTTTGGCAAGCTTATTGTGACGCAATTCCAAATGAATTTGTGCGATAAATCTGTGTTGTTCAAAGATAAGGAAGGGAAATCTTTGTACAGATATAAAAAAGCACCGAAGCGTAAGTACTGGAACATTTAAAACGAAGCAATTAAGTTTATTATTAAGATAAATATTTAATTAAACTGTTATTGTAGAAGCAGGAACAAAATAGAGGTTTTTTTATGTTGTTTATTTACAGCCTGCTGTCCACCGAAATGCCCGTCTTGCTGCCCGCCACCCGGGTGCTGTCCGCCCCCTTCTTGCTGCCCACCAGCATGCCCGCCGCCATCTTGCTGCCCGCCGCCCTCGTGTTGTCCGCCGCCTTCGTGCTGCCCTCCAGCATGTCCACCGCCGTCGTGTTGCTCGCCTTGCCCGCCTCCCTCCTGCTGCCCGCCGCCTTCGTGCTGCTCGCCGCCCGCTTGCTGCCCGCCGCCTTCTTGCTGTCCCTCTTCGTGCGCACCGCCTTGTCCGCCTAGGTGTCCGCCGCCGCCGTTGTGCCCCAGACCGTGTCCTACTTGCAGCGGGGAGAGCGGCTGTTGCCCGAAACCGTGCTGTTCGCCGCCGCCGTGTTGCCCGCCGGCTTGCCCGCCCGCTTGTCCGCCGCCATCTTGCCCATCGTAAGCGATTGTAGTGGACTGGTGGGTTTTTTTTGGTAATTATTGTTGTTTGGGATGTGTAGATGCTGCTGCTGATTAAACTGGACGAGTGCAAGAATATCTACTGCGTTATCGTGAAGAAGATATTTCGGGTTTTGCCTGATTGCATCATACAAAATTTGTTCATCTAATTAACAGGTTTGTGGGTTTGCTAGATTGTGATATCGCATTTTGTGGTTTTGTAACGCACTGTATATAAAATGCTTGGTTACCGGTTTATTATTTTTTTGACGTTTATTTTTAAATCAACTACAGTCAACTAATTGTACATTTTCATTTGGACCCTCTCTCAGAACGGCAAAATCTCAGTTAATTTTTTTTGAAATTATTTGAAAATGTGTAGCAGGTAATACTATATCAATTCTTCAACGATTTCATTAAATTATTTAATTAATTTGCATTTTTATATAGGTGTTGTGCTCCTCCACCATGTCCACCGCCTTGTCCTAAATGTGGTTGTCCCCCGCCGCCGTGTCCGCCTCCTGCGTGTCCAAAATGCTGCTCTCCTTGCCCTCCGGCGTGCCCACCTCCGTGCCCACCTCCTTGCCCTCCGCCCTGTCCGCCCCCGGGCTGCTCCAAATGCTGCCCTTACTCTCCACCTTGCCCACCACCAGGTAAATTTCATTCTAATATAGCAAATTGCTGATGCATTTTTGGAAGATTTTCTATGGAAAAAAGTCAGATTTAGCGTGCTGGTAGTTTTTGGGTGATTTGAGAATATTTTAATTTGGAGTTGCGTTTGTGAAATTGATAAAATGAAGAAGAGGATAAACTTGAATAGGCTGAATTCGTTTTACTGGAAATCCAACCGTTCAAAATTGTAGATGCCAATAAAAGTAACTAAATCCAGTAGACTACAAAGCCGATTTCCAGTAAACTGGATTTAGCAACTACTATCGAATCGAGGCAAATCTACACTTTTAAATTGAAACAAATCCAGTAAAACAAATTCAACTATTTATAGGTTGTCCGACGCCCTGCCAAGATTGCGGAGGTTTAATGTACCCATTGTGCTCTCCACCACCAAAGGCTAAGTGTCCAAGGTGCCCGCCCTGTCCTAAATGCAGCGCACCGCCACCATGCGCACCGCCTGGATGCCCCCCATGCCCGCAATCCCCGTGCCCCCCGCAACCCTCTTACTGTTGCCCCGGACCTCCTTGTCCGCCTCCTAGTTGCTGCCCGCCTCCTAGTTGCTGCCCGCCTCCTAGTTGCTGCCCGCCTCCTAGTTGCTGCCCGCCTCCTAGTTGTTGTCCGCCTAGTTGCCCGCCACCTTGTCCACCTCCTGGTTGTTGTCCGCCTCCGAGTTGTTGTCCTCCGAAAGGTTGTTGTCCGCCCCCGTCTTGTTGCCGCAAGCCGCCTTGTAATCCTTGCAATCCGTGCAATCCGTGCGCGGATTGTTCTCCCTGTTGTCCTGGGAAAGCGCCCGATGGGAATTACGAGGAGATTGGAGCCTCGATGGGTGGAAATTCGCTGACTATAAGAGTGCATAGGCGCAACAAGATTGAGGCGGTTGACGGGGCGACGGGCGATAAAGGAAGTTGTACATGCATAATGGGACAACCAGGGAAAAAGAAATAGAAATCTGGTATTTTCTTTTTACCTTGATTCGATTTTATTAGGTTAGTTCAAAATTTGTGTGTTAATGATTCGTTTTTCGAGCAAGTATTTCGTAATTTGACAAAAGTTTTTGAGAAGGGTTACAATGAAAATATTTAGAATAAAAATTAGTTTTTCTAAATTCATCTTTTAAATTTGTACTGTTTTGCTAACAATGTAAAAGATAAGTTGAAAATTATGTATCTCAAAGAAAATACCAGGTTTTTGTCAGTTTGTTTATACTTGAATATTTTAAGTGTACTTGTAACTTGTCGGAAGGAAAATAAATAAAACCATTTAGAGTGTATGCAATTTTATCCCAACTTTTCTCTTTGAAAATCTTCCAAAAATGCTTATAAACAAATTTACTTTGGATAGACAAAAATTCAATCTTATTTTCCAGGTAATAAAATGAACATGAGTATGAGCCCAGGGATAGAACAACAAGGGGAACACCTGCCCTTCGCATTCAAGATGGGCTCCACAGGAACCAAAGGTGCTGGCAACCAAGTGGTTGTCAATCCACCGGTTAGCATAAGCCCAGATGGCACCCAAGTGGCCGAATTCTCGGATCCCAATAAGGAGTTATTTGTTTTAAGAATAGGCAAAAAATCTGAGGGGGTCAGTGTAGCCCTACTGCTTCTTTGCCCTATTTAAATTTAATTCAATAAATTTCTAGGCTGATAAGAAGCAATCGTTGGAGTTGGAGCTCTGCACCCCGAAAGGGCCCGAACTCAAGCCCATACCCAGAAAAGAGACGAGAGACACTCAATACGATAACAAGGATACCGATTCTACAGGTAAGAAGAACGGTGGCGGCGGCGGGGGCGGCAAAAAGAAGAAGTGAGAATGAGAAGTAAAAAATATATATGTACATCGAAATGTCTTGTGTAGCATGGCTTCTGTTAATTGTGTTAATAAAATTATCAAAACTGTATTTTTTGTGAATTATTTTGAGGGTACTAATGACTGGTTGCCCAATCACTGTAACGGCCAAAGGGTAGAGAGAAGAATGTCAAACGGATAAAAAAATATCACTTGTCAATGTTCGAAACTCTAGCGCCAAAATTACTATTTTACAGGCCTGTTTTCTTGTGTTAAAATGATTTCTGTATGAATTAGTTTAATATAGCGAATAACAACCAAATAACTAAATAAACTTAAAAAAGAAGTAATAAATGTTATTTGACGTTTAAAATATTCTGTGACATTTATTGACATTGACATAAAACATAAAACACAACCTCACAATTCAAATCCAAACAGTTTATATTTATTTTAATAATTTTCGTTAATTAATTGTAATGGATTATAAGGAAGGATGGTTGCTAATAAAAAAAGTGTTCCCCATTTTAGACGAAACCTACAATTTGTGCCAATTGGAGGACATAATATTCTACAAATACGAATTCGTCAAAGCCGTAGATTGTATGAAACAACTAAACGTATCCAAACACATTTTCAACCTGATCGTTATAAAAATCGAGCAAAGACTGCGAGACGAAGTGGCCCCCGAATTTTGGTCGTATTTCAAACATAACGAGCACGAAAACAAGGGTTTCAAGCAATTCTACAACGCTGTTAAGTCCTTGTACGATTCCTACCGGCAACTCCACAATGCCATTCTACAACTCGAGATGCTCAAGCAGGCTACTGATATAGACGTCACCATGTACAATGAAGACAGTTTAGATGACGCCCTAAAACTAATATTAAAATCTACTCTACTATCTCAATTACACTTGGATTACCAACTGGTAGTAACGAATTTCTACGAAGCTGCTCTTAAAATGGAAGATGTAGATGTTATTAAGGATGGTGTATGCATTATTTGTTCGCAGGAGAGTTTACACTGCAATTGTATGCACTTATTTCAGGAAACGAATAGGTATATGAAGTACAATTTATAATGATAAAGTAGTAATAAAATTTGTTCCAGGAAACTAGGGCAAATGGCCTTATTAGAACCATTGGTAGGTCAAACGTTAACCAATCTAATATATGGTTACATTCACGGTCACATTCAGAAAACTTGTAAAGACAGTTTCGATTCCTCGTTTATTAACATTTTAGAAAAAGTAAGTACATTATTCGAAAGCCCTATCAGCTTAATAACAGTATTATTTTAGTGGTTACAAGACATAGTGCTACATTGGCTGAATAACATTTATTTCCACGACTGTGATTCGCTGATACAAGAGTCTCTGAACGCTCTCGAAAAGAAACTAATAAATTTCCTCTACAACAGTTACACTAAAATCAGAATAGACCAATTATTCAACATAATTATAGGTAAGAGTTTGAATTAAATGTTTATTAGCAACTGACAGTGTGTGTTTTAGAGTATCCCGAGTCCTTGCCAGCGCTCGAAGATCTGAGATTGTGCCTTCCGAGGACCGATTTAAAACCTGTATTAACCAAGAAACTCCAGAAAGCCATGGAGACGAGGTTGCTGCATCCCGGAGTCAGTACACCCGATGTTCTAACAGCTTACGTTGCTGCTATCAGATCGTTACGAGTACTAGATCCTACAGGATTGCTATTGGAAACCGTTACACAACCTTTCCATCAATACCTGAGAAGTAGGGAGGATACTGTTAGGTAAAATTACTTAATAAGTAGTAATAAAGCAGCTTTAATTGTTTATTTTTTAGATGCGTAGTGACGAGTTTAACCGAAGAAGGCCCGAACGATCTGGCCGAGGAATTAGTACGATTCGAAGCAGTGCCAGTCGATGAAAATACTACGGTAGATGAAGACGTGGAAAATTGGAAATCTTGGGTACCGGATCCGATCGATGCTATACCAAGTATATATTCCGCATAAATTAGTAGGTTTTTAATTACAGAAACGTTTCTGTTTCGAGGCAAAACATCATCAAGGCGCACATTCGATATCATCTCCATGCTGGTGAATGTTTACGGCAGCAAGGAACTGTTCGTGAACGAATACAGAACGTTACTAGCCAACAGATTGCTCACGCAATGCTTGTGCGATACAGAAAAGGAAATTCGTTACTTGGAATTGTTGAAACTCCGCTTCGGAGACTCCCAGTTGCACTATTGCGAGGTATTATAATGTATAATGTATTGCCTACCCATCAGTTGCAATTATTTGCCCTGTACTCTACGATTGTTTGTTCATCTTTATGCTCTAGGTCATGCTAAAAGACGTGGCGGATTCCAAACGAATCAATCAACATATCAAGCAAGACCCGGAGTACAACGAAGAGGAAATTCCCGTTTCCGCTATGATAGTTTCGGCGCAATTTTGGCCGGCTTTCAAAGAGGAAAAGCTGGAGTTGCACGGCAAAGTTCGAGAGCAAATTTCCAAATACATATCGGCGTTCGAAACGTTGAAGGGCAGCAGGACGTTGTGCTGGAAGGATCACTTGGGATTCGTGGATTTGGAAGTGGAATTGGCCGATAAGACTTTGAGTTTATCGGTTTCGCCCGTGCACGCTTCTATTATCATGCATTTTCAGGATAAAAGTTTGTAAGTCGCGGTTGAAGTAATGTAGCGTTTAATCGGGCGAATGTTTAGGTACTTGGGAGTTGGAAGAATTGAGTAAAATTATGCAATGTCCATCGACTGTGCTTCGCAGGAAGATCGGCTTTTGGCAGTGCCACGGAATCATCGTGGAAACCAGTAAAGACGTGTTTTGCATACAAGACGACTTCGAGAACAAGAGCGTGAACGTTCAAGAAGACATTTTCGTGGAGGATTACGAAGCCGAATCGGCCATGGCGAGCGCTCAGGATCAAAGAGAAGAGGAATTACAGGTCGCCAATTCGCTCTTGAGTAACCGAGTTTCGAGTATATTAAATTTATTTTGCAGACTTTTTGGTCGTACATCGTCGGTATGCTGATGAATTTGGATACTCTGCCGTTGGAAAGGATCCATCAAATGCTAAAAATGTTCGCTTTCCAAGGCCCCACTATAGAATGCAACATTCAAGAATTGAAAGTGTTCCTCGATAGGAAAGTTCGTGAACATCAGTTGATCTATTCCAACGGATACTACAAATTACCCAAATAGTTTTCGATACAAATAACTGATCATATTGGTCAATACATATACGTTGAAAGGTTGAAAGGTAAGATTTTTTACAAGAAAAATACATTATAAATCACACATAAATTATTTATATTAAATATTAAACAACTACATACAAAACTCCAACAATTTTAACAAAATACTGGTTATACATAATAAATAATTACTTACTGATACTCTGCAACGTCTCAGTACTTAGTTCTACCCCTATAAAAACCGCCTCGATTTTTCGAGTCCTTAAACTCGTACTTGCCGGTCGATCCGAAATTCATCTCGTAATCGGTTTTGTCCGGTACCAGGATCAATTCGCTCAGATCGCTGGGCTGGTGTTCTGTAACATCGTAGCCCGATTTGTGATTGCTCATTTTACCGCCGGAATCCTTCGCGGTGGTGTGTTCGAAGGTCGATAGAATCGAAGGGTTCGTTTGCATGATGTTTTTATTCAAACTGGCGAAACTGGAGAGAACGTCTATAGGAGGGTACAACGTGGAGCTGTCGAACGTTAAAGGAATGTAAGTAGTGGATTCGAGTCTGTAGGGTTTGCTTTTGTTGTGCGAATGTTTCTTCGGCTTCCTCTTGCTCCTCCTGTCCTTCTCCCTGTGGTGAATTTGATGATGTTCTGGAGGTATTTGAAGTGGTACCCAATCGCTGTTGGAGAACGGAAGTAGTTCTTCTCTATACGAATGCAACCTGGTTTCTTCAATATCTAGATTAGTAGGGTGACGTTGGTGTATTTTCTTCGGTTTTCTGTGGCTCTGTTTCTTCTGCGTCTAAATTAAAACACCATTACGCATCGTACTCACATCGATCTGTAAGTGGTACTTACTTTGTGTCTTTGGGGTATCAATTCGAAGCTGGTTTCTTCGCTTACACTATCCTCATAACTGCTCGAATTCGATTCATCGCTGTTGTTTCTTATCTTACTTTTATGCCCTTTCTTCTTGCTGTGAGCATGCCCGTAAACCCCGTGCTTCTTATGGCCCCTCGGAGACCTCTCCTAAAACCATCCTCTATTAGAACCATCGATTTTTGGGTAAAAAATAAATATTTACCTGGAGTATAATCCTGTGAATGTCCCGCTTGTGGTGGGTCCTCTGGCTGGCGCAAACCGCCGCGCAAACGAGCCAAAACAGAACGAAAAATTTGATCAACAAGCAACTGAATCGTGCCATGTTGATGGCATTACGTGTTTCGGAGTTATTGCTCTTGGAAAACGGAGAAGAAACTTTTTATACCGCCGCGCGAGAAGACACGCATTAGCGTTTAACAATGAGCGGGCAGAGGTGGATTAGGGAAGCCCGCGCGAAAGGCGCAAATTGCCATCATTAGACACCTAATTGATTCGACAAATTGCAGGAAGAAGGACGCGAAAAACGAAAAATGGCGAAGAAATTGTATTGATTACGATTGTTGATGTGTTTTCTTGTTGAAATTGACACGAATTAATTGGTGTTGGGTGGCTATTATTTTTCGAAAATACTAATTTTCTTTAATTAAGGTGAGTTGTTAGGTTCATTCTGAATGATATCAATAATATGACATTAAATTTTATAACTAACGTAATTGGATAGAAAAATAATTAGGCACCTACCTCTATTTATAAATTATTTTGGAATATAAAAATATACAGCATTGAACACTATAAAATTAGAAACATAAATATAAAGTCTGGAAAAAATGTTTTCAAAATCGTTAGATATTTTTTTGAATCCAAGATTTTAATAAAAATATTACGATCCTGTTCATTTTTATAGATGCGCTCTAATTGCCTGTCATTTTATACACAAATAATTTATCGATATTAACAATAAAATCTATATTAATTAGAAATTGCCACGCATGAGATAGTGAAAGCAATTATAATCTTTTCTTTCTTTCTGTGTTATAAATTTGCAACAGTGGTTTGCGATGCGGTTCAAAGCGGACACAATTAATATAAAGTAATGTAAATTAACCGTACCGTTATGGAGATCATTAATTTTCTATTTACAAAACTGTAAATTTATGAACACTACAAGAAAATTTATTGGATTATCAAAGAAAGCCAGTAAAGTACCGCAGAAAGTGCAATTAATTATTGTAATGTTCAATCAATAATAACTTTTATTTCTTAATAAACTTTCAAGTTTGAAGAAAATATTACACCTACTATCTAATTCGGTAATAGCAAGAATAAATTGTCAATAGTTACTAGCCAATTATTTAATACTCTTCATTAATGCAACTAGAAAGCGCATTTATAATTACATGTATGGACAGTTAATATAAAATAACTGAATTTTCTTTAAAAGAAACGAAATTGAAGGTATAGTCGTGTAAGCAATTAAAAATATCGCATTATTTTCACTTCTTTTAATGAGAGACATTGCCGATGTGTATCTTAATTACGGAATGTACTGGAAATTGTGAATGATGATGCATTGATTCGAATTATCGCAGGACTATAATAAAGAATAATTAAAAATCGAAAGGAGAAAATATATCATTGAATTAAAAATACCCACAGCTTGGGATAAATAAATTGATACATACTTCAATGATATAAATTAAAGTTAAATAATGAATCAATTATATTTATTTTGCTATAATATTTTGGATAAAACATGCTAGCACCTATGCATCTACCTGTCGTGTAAAACCTACAGGTAAATTTAATTGTAGTATTATTCTATTTGCAGCTGCTATAAGTTGCTGAAGGTAAACGCAAGATGGCAGAACCCATTCTATGTTGTGATCAAAAATATTAAATAGATACTTCAAACTGTAGTAATCTTAAGCAATAATAAGCTCAATACTAAAAGCGAAGATTGCTTAAAATATTTAACACTTTCAACGACATCGTTTATTAAATTACAGCGCATTTATAATTCACCTTCTGATTTAAATAACGTATAATTTACTTATTTTTGTCTTATTAATATTTATGTAACAAGTTCTACGTGCATTCACGAAATAAATTCTTTTATTTAGGCAATTTTTGATACTTATTAAATTTGTAAAGTAGCTGGAAGTATCCTCGCTGTACTTATATAGGTACAACGATAATGAAACTCCTTTGTACTGTAAATATCTGTTTCCCTTCCTCTTTCATTAGGATTTTCCATCAACACATTTTCACATTAGGCAAATTCAAACGCTCACTATTCAAGTTGAATATTAAGCATGCAAAACTTCATTACTAATAGACGAGCTCTTAATAACGGCTATTCAAAATGCAGGACCGGGCCCTGTTATACGACAATATGCATCTTTTTGTCGAAATTAATCGGATTATAAAACTTATTTGAGAAACTTTAATATTTTTATAACAATATTTATAATAATCTCTCTCTCTCGCACTCAGTGATTCTCCTATGTGTATACCTACATTCGAGAGCATCAGCGCTTTATGTAGCAGCTTTAATGTAAATTCGGTCCTATAGAGACATATATAACGTTAACAAATTCTGCAAAACCGAAATACTAGTTTATATTTGAATTAACGTTTTCAGAAGAGGTTTCCTGTTAAACTCGATATTCCAGTCATTTGTACATATATAGTACTATACACGAGCTTGTAACAGTGACTGTAAATATTGATATTTTACTCCGGCTATACGTAAATTTCGAATACGCGAGATCCTTTTAATGCAATTAAAGGCAAACATTTAATGTTAAACGGTATAATTTTTACTCGACCAACAAAAGTACAGCGTCTATTTTTGATATTCATCTTAATTTAAAATATCTTATTAGCCCACTTTGTACAAATTAAGTACCTCCACCGACAAACACACGCGTATTATCGAGCTTTTAGTAAAGTTTAAAGTTGAAAATCCCCCTCTCGCTTTTCCTAACCCTGTAGAGCTACAGGGAAACTACTCGCTCAACTCCATTAAATCATTTATCCGCCCTAAGAGCCAAAATACGAGTTTATTATCAATGCCAATTATCTGTAAATAATGGAAGGAAAATTTATGGTTACCAAAGTTTTGTCTAAGTACATTATTCGTTTTTGTAGTTAACAGGGGACAGTTTTTCCGGAACGGTGTAAATTATCTCTAATCTAGATGAATCGCTTTTTATACCATATTTTATTCAGTGCAATACTTAAAAAAATATTGTTGTTTTAAATCTCGCAGTATACAAAATCTTCGCTTCCGTAACGTTCACCGGGCGGTTAATTCCTTATTGTTAAGGATCTACGTGTGTGCTTTATGATTGTTATGATTTGTAAGTTGTCTCGTTTCTTTGCTGGATGCTCGAAGCGGAGCTACGTCAGCGTTTCCATTTTACACTCGGGCGTAAAACGTTCCCGTTTGACAAGTGTGATGGCATCCATTTTATTAACATGCACACGTCTGTCGGCCGATAATGCGAAAACATCATTCATCTATATAGTTAGCGCGACTCTAATGTGAATTTCCCTCATACGAAAATTATCATGAAACTTTTGTACGGTCCTGTTTCTCAATTTTTTTTTCTGGGTGTACGCACTAATCGGCGTCACTTTTTTCAGTGTGGTTATCGGCCAATTTTTACGCAATCTGCTGGAACGAAATGCGTTGCAGAAAAACCGTGTATTGTTAAAACTCAAAAAAGTTTGCTTTAATAATTCATTGTTCAATGGCAAAAATTCATTGGCTTTGTATATGCTTTTTCAAACAAACGTCGATTAAAGTGGTGATTTGTTAACAATTTAGTTTCCGTACGGGTTGTGATGTTAACGATATTTGGACAATTAGTATTAAAATGCTGTATTTGTGATGCGATTAAACGTTATGTTGAATTTTAACCCTTTTAAAGTGATTTATTCCGATTTTTAAGCAGCATTATTTTAATCCCTTTTCCACTATATCAATTCCTATTTTTGAAATAAATTTTATAGTTGAAAAGAGAATGAAAGGTCCTTTCAGAACGTGTATTTCGCAATCTCCTGCTTCCCTTTAAAATTTAAGGATTAGACTGTCACTCGAATATGAAATTTCCTCGTCGGTGGATGTCATAATCTAAAATTGAGGAGTTCTGGGATTTCAGAAATCAAGAATTTTTCCTTTCATTTGCAACCATAATGCACGGAATTGTCTCCTAAATAGACAATATTTTTCGGTGCATAAATACTTTAATAAAGCAATTTAATTTGACAAGAATGGCGTTTAATGAAAATATCAAAGTTGTGTAACTAAAGGAATAATGCCGGTCCGTATAATGAAGTCATGCTTCTGAAAATCTCTTAAAAGGAAACACAATTTGTGTACGAATAGTGTACACAGAGCAGGGATGGGTTCTCATTATTTTTACTTCATGTTACGAAATTCATTGCAAAATTCATTGCAAGAGCTTTAACTTTGGGCAACTGAAGAGTTGTTTATTTATATAAAAAAATTCACATTGTTACAAATATTGGGATATTTAAGTGATGTGTATTTGTAATTAGATATTACGATCCTGGTGTGTACAACCCGGCGAATGCATTTGTAAGGTTCCGCTTAAGTAGGAGCACTTTGATCGGCTGTGCGGCAAAAAATGTTTAACTTTTAATTAACGATCCGGCTAGGGCAAAACTTCCTTTTCGGTAAATAGAGCGCCGTGCTTCAGCTTTCAAAACATCCTTGCGCAGTTCGGAATAAATTAGGTCTAGTATTTGTAAATTCGCTTAATTACATTTAGAACAAAAAAGTTACAGCTCGTTTAAGAGTCGCTTGATCTTTTCAATTCGTCCAATCCGGAAAACTTATTCGGGAAATATCAAGCGAGAATTTCACGCAAAACCAGGAATGGTTTTACGTAGAAAGATTATAATTAAATAAGCGTTATATAAATTAGATGAGAGCATCGCAACTCCTTTTTCGAGTCGATTAATAGACCGGATAAGAAGCAATAAAAATGTGAAGTGTACTTAAAAGATTCGTTTGCTCGTAATAATCTTCTATCCGAGTTGTTATAGGAGCTTATTAAGATCTCATTTGCGTTGGTGATGATACGCGTCTCCCGTCGTTTTTCCGGTTTGTCGGAACTCATTTCGACCGTCGAGATTTATTACTAAAAACTATCGCCTTTGATACGAAATATCAATCTCTGTCGGCATTAATTCCTCGAGAATATCTTAATTAAATACGATTTTTTTAATGGCCATCCGAACAGATGAAGGCGGAACGATAACATAAAAATTACTCGGGAAAATTCTCCCCTT